TTCAACGGTGTCGTGCGTTCGGACTAACCGTTAGGAATTCCTAAATGGAGTCAATTTGTGTAGTTTTCTTGATTTATTCTGCAGATATCGGTAAAATGTAGGTAAGACTTTGGCGAAATTCGAAGGAGCAACTAATATTCTTCAACCTGGTATTTTTTTTAGATTTTATTTTTTATTTTTTTTATTTAAAAATTGGCAATCCAGCACAGCAGCCAATCAGCGACGGCCTTACGCATAGATGACAATTTCGGTTTCAAATACCCCGGCTTAGTGTTCTAGGTTCTTCGCGTAATTAGATGTTCGTATGCAAGGGATTTTTGCACACAAAAACGACGAATTCGGCCGAATTTTGTTATCGGTTGGCTTAATATAACCCCAACGGACCGTATTTTTGTGAATGATTGGTATTTTTGTCCTGATTTGTAGGAATCTTAAAAACGCGTTTCACAACTTGTCTCTTTTTTAGTTGTATGCGTCATTCAAGATGGCGACCCCCATATAGTAAATATCGCATTTATTTTATTATATCAGATGTGCGCCAGCTTACTGTGGTCAGATCCTTGTGGGCTTTCGCGATTACCAAAACTTAATAAAATACCAGCAAATAAATTTTGAAAAAAATAATAGAATATATGAAAAAAATATTAATGATATTATTTTAACAAAAAAAAAGCAAAAAAAAAAGCCCAAACTAGGATCTTATTTCAATCAGATTAGGGCGAATCAAAATAAACTGCAGTACATATGTAATAATAATCGTGGTCGTCATTGACAAAGCCACAATTCTAACTGTCTAACTAATCAAAGTAAATACCTAATTTGCCAAACATTGTAGCTGACCAACCATTTACTTATTGTTGTTTGTATTTCGGTTAAATCATCTACACTGCACAATGCTAAGAACATTGCACTTGAACATAAATATCAGATTGTGATTATCATTTCCAAATTTCTAGAAAACTGGTTTAGAATTTCGAGACTAAACATTCAATTGGTTAAAAGTGAAAGAATTTTGCACCTACCACAGCCTTGAACTTTGATAAACATGAAATGTGAATCAAGTACATGAAAGCTAAGCCAAATATTCAAATGAAGAACATCTCAGATAGTATATGTGTTCGTCAAGGGATGTAATCCCGAGGTAATCTACTAGTGTAATTTAGTTTGCATATTATCGAGCGATTTGAGTGATGAGATTACAACGTGACAGAAATGCAGATGATGCAGATATAACATCTTAATAGGTGACATTTCAAAAAGTTACTGTTTTGTCCATAATATTGTGAATAGAACATATACCATATTGGTGAATCATGATCGACACGTGGATTGAGTATAAAGATAGACGTTGCAGATTTAGAATGTCAAACCATTGTTTCTCGTAAAATGTACATGTAGCAAAGTGACCGGTGTGGATTATGCAGCATTTATAGGTCCCCTATTTCCAGATGTAATTGGTAATTCTGACATTCAGTTGTTCATAGCATTTGACCACATAGCATACCGCCGATATTGGACGCTTCAAATGTCGTGAATATAGAATCCCATTTAAATTATGTCTTACATCATAAATAATAATGTTGAACTGCTGATTCTTAATATACCGCGGGGGTGAATTCTATATTTCAACATACAAGGCTATAGAGCGAGTGCGTGAAGTGTACACGTGGCACGATAATATTCAGTGATCATAATTACTCGAATAGGGTGATGGGAAATGAAATAACATTTGTCATTTTTTAGCGATTGAGACAATATTACCGTTATAATAAAGTTGCATTGTCATGGTGACGGCACTGTTACGTTTATTTGTGATTGAGAACACATTGGATGGTGCGAATCTCACCGCATCAGAATAGCGTTAATTATTCGTTTAAGTAATTATTCACAATTCGTGTCCAGAATATATGTAACATACAAAAAACAAACACAAAACATAACATGACCAAATCAATTAGAGATTATGTAATACTGATCTCCGCAAATACATCTATAATGTCAGGCGTATGTTTCTGCGACGTGAACAAGTTATATAAATAAATAAATATCAAAAATGGCACTAAATTCTCACAATATAACAGTATTCTGCCAATCACGATTTGTTGTTTCTATGTGGCAAAGTGGAACATTCAGTCTAAATGAGACAGTATGACAGTTTGTTTTTTGTTTTTTTGTTTTTTTTTACAGGCGATTTCCTCGACAAATATCTCGAAACATCGTCATATACAAACTGTTGTTAACTTTAAAAATGGTACCTACCCCCTGTGAGTTTACCGACAAATGGAACCACTTTAAATCATATTTATACTAATATTTATACTAATATAGTCATTGCTATTCCCATGGTGGGTATTGTATTTTTAGAAATGAGTTAAGATACTAACATGTCAGCATGGCTAGATATATAATGGTTAGACATGTATGATGAATACTTGATATGGCAGTGTCATTTGCATTTATTCAAATATGACCACGTGCCTGTAAGTTTATCGCCATTTATATTTATAATGTATAAGCCCTTTTTCGATATATAACTCAAAATAAAAATAATGCAATGGTTAATATCTGAAGTAAACATTCATTGTCAAATTGTTCACATGTGCGCATGGTTGGAAATAAGTTATTGTATACAGGAAGTATATTCATGACCGTGTTAAGCGAAATCGTTATAGTACTTGTGTATGAAGTGAAAACCACGAATCTATACAAACATAGAAACATATATTAAGTGGCATAAAAATAACAACATTTTTTGTTGCCCAACACGGGTTTCATGTCTTCAATAGTGCTTTCAAAGTGAGAGTCTCACGAACAAGATGGAATTTTTCTACAGGTGTGAACAAACCATGTCACTTCGATAATGTAAATTTGTTCAGTCTAACGAATTCAGTGGAAATGCTACATTAGTCGGTTTGACAGTGATGGATATATAAGATAATAGAACCACTTCCCTGAAAAAAACTCATTAAAACGACCTTTCTCATAACAAAGAACATGCAAGTCTGAGTGACTATGAGTCTTTACAACATGCCGCCATCATCAGCTTTATGTGAGGACGGCGAAACTTGGTGAAAGGTGTACGTCCACAGAATGCAATATCTCAAAAATAGGATGGGTGTATACCCCTGAGGGTACATTCGAGATTAAGATAAAGCCCTGAGAGATGATACAATATAATTGCATGGCTAACGAACAAGTAAGATCACTTAATAACCACTAGGTTCTACATTCTTATTTTCAAAATCTAATCATACAACAACGTTATAGAGCAGAGCGAAATATTAATATTTCATGTCCAGAACTTGTGAAAACGTCGTATCTCAAAGGCACTACAGAATGTGGATCAGGTTGCATAAGAAGGGATCTATAATGCATAAATGGAAAACACAAACTAATCCACGGAATCAATGCTATGTGGTCAAACCTAAAAAGTAAGAGGTAACTGTAGTTGACACGCACATTGTTTTGTCGACAAATACCAGGATACATATTATAGATTTTAATGCGCAACTACGTGTAATGTTTGAGTGATTCGTCGAGAAGAGCAGATAAATTTATGTTTGCATTACACATTAACATTTAAGTATTACATACAATTTCTTGTGTACTCTGAATACTCACAAACGTTTCAAGATTGCTCTACTTTTATTTTTGGATTTACAATGCTAAAAAGTCGGCGGCTGAACAATTTCAAAGACTGTATTTTATTTTGCGAAGTTCCGTAATATATACGACAAGAAAAAGTAATAATTTTGTTAATATTTTTTTCTGTGGTTTGGGTGTTATTTTGAGTATGTCCCACTTGTGTCAAATTCCAAACGTTTTAAGACGTATACAAACAAATTGTTAGGCTCTGATTGATCATGATCCTTTATCGATACCGCAGTTGTCCTGGTAACATGGGTTGTATTCACGACAATAAAGTGTATGGGAACCAATGACGCTGCCAATCAATTTATTATAGATCGTTCTGATGGTGACATATGCAATCCAATTGTCTGTTACAGTCGATGGCGATTTTTAGAACATTTACTTCTATTATGACAAAGATCTCAACTAAAATTACCAAAATCACAATTTATTTTTTGAGTGACAAACTTTAAAACTATTTGCACAGAATATTTACCCTGTTATCCACATTTCATCTAGATCAATATGGCTATTATAAAGTGTCTCTAGTAGTTAAAATGTTCAATACACGAGGCTATTGAAGATATAAATATGAACATTTATAACAATCATGTAACGATCAATATTTACCATTGTATCTACAAATTCATTATTTAGTGTTTAAAAATATATATATTTGAAAGTGACATAAACAACTTTCATAATACTAGAATACTAATACTAAAATAAAACTGTTTAGACATAAATGTTTCAGTCATATTTCTGTGTTATGTAATGTACAACACTATCACAAGCGCATGTTTCTTGTGTATGTAAATATCAAACAAATAAAGCACATGTGTGCTAATCACCAATGCAATCACGTGATTACGAGTTGTCGTTATTTAAATTGAATGCAAAGTACATCGTCATAGAAGACGTGAACACAAAAGCTGAACATGTCAAGAACATTGTGTACTACCTCCTAAACAAACATTAACGATTAAGTTATCACACATGCCCCAAAAGGGAAATATCAGCATTGTCGAAATCTTGGGGTCCATTCAGAGAGGTTTCATTTAGCGAAGGAAAGTCTTCAAATAAATGAACACCCTGCGTTACACAGCCGGATTCGAGTTCATCCTGTGACGTATTGCACTGTGATTCGAGATACTCATCAGCGGCGTCGTCATGGTTATCCAGATTCATGGCTAAATACTCCATACCATTATCGCGTCTATCATCAACAGAAATACTCTCAATACTTTTCAATCGATATATTTTCTTGCGTTGACGGTAGCAACAACGCCTGCATCCAATAACGATGAAGTATATCATTATTGTAAGTAAAACTATTCCTAGTGCCCCAGTTATGGTGCAGCTGATAATAGTCGAAACATATGCATTACTTTTTGGTAGAAGTTCCTTGGCGACATTTTCCTCTGTTGTTACAGCCACCGAAACATCGACTTTAATTGGGATAGCTTCTTCTTTGTTGGAATAGCGAATAACATTTCCCGTATCTTTCTTTCCTTTGTTTTGAAACGTTATACTGTCTTTGACTGTTATAACGTTTTCAGTAGCAAATTGTAGTTTATATACACTTGTGGCAGCTGTAGTCAGTTTCTCATAATTTCCAGGTTTACCTTGATGTTCGTCCTCGGTATAGCTCGGTGAAATTTTATGTTCTTCCCGGCTCTTCTTTGGCGACGTGATTGTTTTGAGTGTCGTCTTCAATGATTGGGTAGTTGCTAAAGCTTGTGTTACTGCTTCTGTTCTGGTAACCGTAGCACTAGGTTCAAACGTTGTGTCCCGATCTTGAAACGAGCTATGGTCTATTGGGTCTGTCCTTGACTTTGCATCGGTTACCATCAATGTTTCAGAAAATCTACCATGTGTTGTATCAGTTGGACAGGACGCGTTCTGCAAGTGCACGTCTTCAAGTGGTTCACCTCTCAGTTCAATGGGAATGTTGCAGGTTGGAGGACGCACATATTTTATCGTTTCACCGAAATTTATATCTGATCCGGAAATAACCCAACCTTGTGAATTGAAGAAATTAATCAAATTGTTCATATTACAGTCGCATACCCAAGGATTCCCAGTTAGTAGTAATGTCTTCATATCTGTAACATCATCATCGAACACGTCCAAAGATACTGTTTCAAGCTGATTGTTCATTACTGATAGCCCTCTTAATCGCACAAGTCCCTCGAAAGCGCGGGCTTCGATATTAGCCAGCGGCATGTCCTCCAAAGAAAGGTGTTCTACCGTGGACAATGAAAGAAAGGAGTATGATCGTAGATGAGTAATCAAGTTTCCAGAAAGTAATAACGTTTTCAAATTGAGTAGCCCCTGAAGAGCGTCTATCGGTACATCATTCAAAACGTTTTGAGAAAGACTGATGTGAGATAACATGTATGCACTGGTGAAAATATCAGCATCTAAATTGGAGAGTAGGTTCCTATTAAGGAACAGATGTGTCAGCTTTGGTAGGCCGTCCATGCTACCCACTTCTAACGTGCTTAGTCGATTACCATCAAGATTCAATGTCATTAAATTCTCCAGTCCTCTAAAAGCATTTCGGGAAATGTCGACAATGAGGTTGTCGCTCAAATCAAGTGTATTCAAATTAGACAAGGTATGAAATGTGTATGGCAGAATGGACGAAATGCGATTTTTACTCAGAATAAGTGATTCTAAAACGGTGAGATTTTGCAGTGCTGCCGACGGTATATCCGCTATATTATTAGCCGCTAGGTCAGCGAAAATGATGGAATTTGAACCACGAAAAACAAGGTCACTCATCTCCTTTACGAAATTGTCAGCCAATACCAATTCTTGTAGTGATGGGAGACCCTGTAGAAACGGTTCCGCTGTAGACAGGCTGTTGTTTCGTAGATTCAGGGTAGATAGATGGTGCAGCGCCATGAATGCGTTCTTTTCTATTATAAGGATGCTGTTATGTTGTAAATAAAGCTGCCGGAGTTGTGGAAAGGCAGTGAAATTAGTAGCTGACAGAGAAGGTAAAACACTATCCGACAAATACAATCGTTGTGTGTCCCCAGGAATGTTTTCCGGCAAACCAGGTAATCCAATGCGTTCACAGTGAACCTCTTTACGCTGCCGATTGCACGTACATTTGTTCGGACACGCATCACTCAGCGTTGCTAGAAGGATTACGTATAACACAAACAAAGCCATATTGGTTTTGAGAGATTTAAAATCCAAATTTGTTGTTGTTGTTTTTCATTTTAGTCCTTCAGGTTATAATTTATTTCCAGGCGCATGTTTTTTCCAGTTATATAATTCATTTGGTTAGATGTCCTGTGATGTTGTTGTTCATTCGTTCATTCAATAATGCCTGATAATTAAGTTCACACCATTCCTGCAAATAAAACATACCTAATGTTAGTTGTGAGAACTAAAACCGCGTTACCTATAAAACATAAAACGCATAGTTAGCTTATGTATTATTATAATTTTCGTATCATACATGTGAAATATACATAAGGTAAGATGAAATGCAATATTGAACGTGCAGTCACATGTTGCAGTCACTGATTCGGAGGTCTTGACTGCAGTCAGATCAAATTTTCAAATGAAGTATCACATTAGCGATCAGACAGTCAAACAAACACACACGACGCCGTTACATGGCTTTCAGTTGTCCATGTATACAGTAGCTGGAAATAGAAAGTTCTAGGTAATACATGTGCATGTGACTACTGTGTTATTAAACTTATTAGTACCACGATTCAATAATTATTACGTACAGACTTTATCGTGAACCAACATCGGCGCACATCTCACAAGCTGTGAGCTACATATGACATTTTAAAAACCACTTCACGTGAACTAATTCATTTAGTTTACTTTATCACACTCCTATTCATATATTGATTCCCACGAGTTACTCAATAACTATACAGAAAAGTAACTTTGATCTAAACTAAGCAGTGCACAAAAACTTATATCTGCTGGTAATCCGAATACACATTATTCCCATGAATGTCGTATATCATGGTAGCTCAGTGTAATAAAGCAGTGTAATCATGTCTTTTGTCTGCATACTTGGCAATAAAAAAAATCCTCTAATCTGATTGGTCAGTGAATGCAGTCTGAACTTTTGACATCGTTGTTGACAATCTGGAAATACGCCAATATTTTAAGTGGTTTTAGACCATATTTCTTAAAGGTTTGTTCAGATTTGTATTAATTCACATATTTCTAACAGTTTCACATAGCATGTAAAATGTGTTTTTTTTGTTATAAATCCGTATATACGTGATTCATTATTTTTTAAGTCACTCAACATCATCATATTAGCTTCATTTGAGTACTTTCCTTCTAAATTCACTAGGAAATTCCTTCGTGCTGCCGACAGATCCCTGATTGAATCTACTCCAGAATAAATGTATTCACTGAACTATGGATATATTTATGGCTCCAAAAATAATCACATTCATAAACAGCTATCTTTTATGCAAATTATCATACTACTCTCCCGGAGTCTTGAGCGTGACACACAAATCACGTTTCAATGTTAGTGCGTTTCAGAAGCGGCAAAACGGATATGCGGGATCAACGGGATATCCAATTCGTGACCGTGCATTATAAAATTTAATATACTCGTGTTCATTCGTTCTTCGCCAAAGTAGAAATTGAGTACACGCGATTAATGCATTTACTATTGCATGGTCACGTGACCTTTATGTGACACTAATCATATCTCTGTGTGAGAAACGTAATGTTTGTTTACAAAACATTATTCAAATGTGTTCTTATCAGGAAGCGAAGAAATTACTCGATTTCCTGTCATCACACATTTACAAAGCAATGTAAATATATGCTTTCAACAATCAGACATTGAAAAGTAAATAGTAATTAAAAAATTACCTCTCACATAACAAAACTACCTCTAACAAAATATCATGCAATGCTACTTGGTAGAATATATGACAACTCATGATGTTAATGAAGGCATTTTACTATAATATTTTTTTCCTTGTACGTGTCCTTTTGCACTCTCCATTATATACTTAAATATTCATTATATACATATATCTAATACCGATAAAACAAAATGCATACATTGTCGCCGTATGATTATTCCACGATAATTTAAAAATGCAATTCTTGGAAGGTCATTTTAATATAATTTTTTTCTGTGACACTCGTAGAACAATTCATAAAATGAGTGCATATATCCGGCGCCGTCTGCCTATTTTATTAATATGTTTTATAGTTTTTAATTGCTTGTCCCAGGCGAATAATATAACTGGCCATTTATTGATACTGTATGTATTATATAAAGTAAAAACACATTGAACAGGTTTTGCTAGTAATCAAAATGTTCACCTAACAGTTTTAAAATGGTCTGATTGTAAAAGCGTTTTCCTATTGATCAAGATACGTCATGGGATACCATCCTTTATAAGCGTGCATTACACATGTAGAAAGCATACACGTAGGTTAATCGATAAAACGTACACACTGGAAGAATAAATCTTTGGGGGTAACACATGGATACATTATTTATCTTCGCTAGCGGGCAAAATGACTAATGCTTGTGTGGGCAAGCTGAACGATGAAAGTAACTGAAGCAAAGACCGCCATCTTGAGATAAATGCTGCATGGTTCACGAATGCGTTTATTCTGTGCATATTATTGCTTGTAAAAAGCAATATGACCGATGACCCAATATTGACACTATCTAGCTCCACTGTACATGAAATATATATTTAATGGCCATTAGGAATTGGTCATTGTTGATAGTTGGGGCGGTATGGGTATCATTCGCCTATTCTCGAAAGAACACCAATTTTAAAACTATCACAAGGTTTCGCTTTTTCTCTCAGCTTTTCCTATTGTAACTGTAAGTTGTTTTATGCGATATTCGTAAGATAGGGAGATTGTATCCCAGGTTATTTATATAAAATCTCCATAACGATTACTCATAACGATTTGAGCTATAAGATGATACTGTCACAATTGTTCTATGTATCAAGAAATGACTTTACATATACAGTGTATCGTAACCTCACCTTCACCGAATATAGAAAATAGTTGTCGGTTACACGAGATAATTGGGATGGGGCAGTCCTGTACAATCTGTATAAGTCTAGGACGTTCACCATCGCGCAATTTAATGACATCTAGGACACAGATTGTCTACAGACGTTTTTTTACTAAGCTTATCCTTGCAGAACTGAACCACAATCAGTTCTCTGTCAGATTTGTCCCTCATTCCCCCGCCTGAGTAATCAATTGAACAGAAATACGTGACCGATCGACAAAACTGTAGATGTTTGGCTCACATTTTCAATAACAGCCACAGTTCAAGCGTGAAACGAAACCAAAAGTAACATTTCATAATTATTAACTCACCATTAAACAATAACATTCTGATTCAATGTAGATGCACTCGGTGTTATATATCCGGCGTCAACTGACCCAATTTCCACGTGTTCAGTCAAGCGAATGGCGATATGGAAGTACATGCACTACCTTTGGCAGATCGCCTAACTATGGAGCCCTCGATGATTGATAAGGAAGGAGATTAGAGCAAGTTAATCCGCTCTTCCAAAGACTTGGCGGACAATGTGTAATGCGTGTTGATGTGCGCCGTCCACACTTCCAATCACAGTCTCACCGTCTACATTAGCGACGGAGTTGAGTCTACCATTTCCCTGGGGATGTTTTTAGCTGCAGTTGTACCAAGAATACTCCAGATACAACAATCGGGAAATGCGCTAGTTTATTGGACAGAGAATTTCGACGTGAATTATTATATTGACAGTGTAGCTTTCAAAATCATAAGTTGATTCAGTAAAATATTTAAAAGTGTTATTTTGTAGATCTATGGGGTGCAATAGACTTTCGGATTTTTCTCGTTCACTGATGCTTACAGTTCATAGTTTCTAAAGAGTGGTCGAGTGGGTTAGTTGTAATCCTGTGTTTTTAAGTGAATGTTATAAATACCCAAAGCGATATGATGATTACACCGATATTACATCGAATAATTTGTGACATATAAACATGGTCATACAATTGTTAAAGCTAAACACGCGTCGTTCAAATCTATCAAGTGGCGATGCCTTCAGCGGAAAAAAAACACTAAATTGGCGATGGTCATAAAATAGACTAATAACATCAACTGAAAATATGAGCAATTTGTGAAACAAGCTCATTAAGCTAGAGGCATTGCATATAAGGCATTAACACTCAATACGTCAGTGGCACGCTTGGCCATCGTGATTGCTACAGCCGAGAACAGGATAGTATGTCCATTGCATAGGAGTCTGTGAGTCTGGAGACATATTTTTTTAATTCTACGTGCTTCACTATAACATGTCTTTAGTGTTGTTTTATCACAATTAAATCACAGCCTAATCTAAAGAAATTTGAATTAAATCACTAGGTATAGCAGACAAGCATTACTATTATAAAAAGAGAAAATAAGAAAATTGTGCAGTTCAATTAGACAAAAAAAGAGGTAGAGCAATCATTTATGTGTATGATAATGGAACAGTACTACTTCAGGGAAATATTTACCAGTCATTATTATTAAACGAAAGTCAAAACTTATTTGAACGTTTATAGCGATTTCTTAAACTAAAGGTAAAGGTCACCGATTCCACAGCGTTAATTCTTGCCTCAAGTCAATGGCTACTGCTCGAGACTAGAACATTATTCATGTTACGACCCTGATGAATATTGCACGAACAGAAACTGGTTCAGAGACTGGATGATGACGGAAGTGTTAAGCAAGAAAAATACAACTGTGACGAAAATATGTCATCACTAAGACATAATCATTTCTTTCTAGATGAAAACCACATTTTCAGTGAATATACGTTATATCAACATATATAACAATGCTAGTCTCGCCACAACCATTCGTAGCAGATATCCTGACAGCAATTGAAGGATATCAAGTTAAGATCTCATCACTGTCGGGAAGTAAGTACTAAATACAATAAGTGATACTGATGGCAACCATGTAAGCAGTTTAGATCTCGAGAACAATCATATTTGAGTTATTCACAGTCAATGCATATCGTAATGAAACACCTAGCAAAGAATAGGATATTTCCCTATACAGTAGAGCAACAATAGAGTGCATAGAACAAGCACTAAAAGATACTAAAATTCTAGAAAAACTGTAACACTTAAAGCGGGGAGTCGTCACCTGCGCTTTGTTTCATTGCTTGGGACTCAATTCCCGCGCGTGCGCAGGTGACGACCCTCCCGCTTTAACAGTTAACATCGGTAAAAGCAATGTCGACCATGGTCTCACAAGACAATTCAGCATCTTGGAATTTGAAAGAGTATTTGATACAGCAAAGCAGATACCCCCCCCCCTGACACAATCACGAACAGTCC